TATTAGGTCAAGCCCCCACAGATTCTCTTTATCACGCAGTGTTGCCATCGCGTAAATGGATTTCACCGCTTGGTGCATACTCTTTGCTTGGCGCATTTTACATTTCCGTTTACGATCCTCTAACCAAATCCACTTTCACTAGAATAATTTACAATTCTGCTAAAATTAATTTTGTTTTCAGCATATAAAATATTATATTATTCAACTATTTTCATTATGATGATATATTAAAATGATAATTTTTAATATACAATATACGTTCAGAATTTATAATCAGATATTATATTCGTTTTAATTCTTCCTTCTGGAAGGTTTTCTTTATAACATTGACAGTTCGAAAACTGTAAGGGGACGAAGTACAATTCGTACAATCTGTGGACGTATTCTTCAGCTCTGGAATTCCGGCCTTAACTCTTAAACTCATTTAAATTATGATTACAGACGAGTTGGTAACGTTTGGTAAGATTTGATATCAAGAAATATTCGCTCTTCAATGTAATTGATTTAACATTTACCATTCCTCCGTAGATCAAATAGTGCGGTCAATGGCGACTTCATTTCGATTCTGAGTTTTGTAAAAAAGAACCTTCTTTAAAAAAAAGAACTATTATTTGATAAGCCATGCAGAAAATAAAATCTGTAGTTCGTTTACCGCTGCAAATACGTTTTCTGCAATTCGGGAACAAAAATGTCTAGTGTTTCAAATGTCGCTAATATCGGTTTTTTTATTAAATCTTTATTTATTTATCTTTAACGTTTACTCATCTTTCAACTATTTATAGTTAAAATGATGGAAGGAATTCTGGAACTTAAGAAAACGTGTGCTGATTATCTTTTCCCTCATATAGATTTTACTGTTATTTTTACTAAATAAATCTAAATACTGACTAAAGGTAAGTTAACTTATGCAGTCATGTTTTGGATGACCAACATTGGTCCGTAGCTTTAGTATATTCACGAATTCGTCTAATAATCATCTCTTAACAGTAAATTCGATGATGTATTGATTGCATTTATGTAATATTTGTTATGCTATATAGATTGTATGCTGTAATAATTGTATTTAAAATTGTAATATGTGCGAACTATTTACTTGACCAGAATAAACTCTCATTCTCTGATTATGTCATTTTTCTCTAGGAAGCAAGTATAAGCTTTCCTTGTAAATTTGTTACCAAACCATGTTCTATTGAGTTCCAATTCTCATACCTTACAATCTAACTTTTCAACTTTAAATTGGGAACAAACAAAATCAGGTTAGGACCAATTAATCTCAAATTAAGAATATACACATTCAAATTACGACCAATCACTTCCAAATTTGAGACTTAAGAGGCGGAAAAAGGAAAGTAAATAAAAATTGCAACCATTTAAACACGTAAATATATTAAACACAAAACAAATACAAATTACATTTGGGATAAAAACAATGACATTTCCTTATCAACTAAATTTAGTGCATCCAGGATGAATCTTTGAGTATGAGCTCAAGCACAGTAATTAATATATTTTATTGTATGAATGTTTCCATGTATAATTTTTTCTACTTGTCGAAGACCAAACTCTGTTGGGATTATGTTTTCATTCGTTAAAATTTTTGGTAACTACACCGACAGATTTTGCTTTCTATCAGCTTTTAAACTGGATTACGCAAGCTCAGTACGATTGATCATTTGGTTGAGGTTTAAGTAAATGATGGGCGCAAAATTCTTCCTCTGCTAATACTTCTACGTTGCTATGGCAAGGAGCGTGCTATTTATGTTATGTGTACCTGTTAGGAGCAGCGCGCAGGAAGTAACAGACAAAGTTGTTCGCCTTCTTCATTCGAAAAGTGCGTCTTATTATTTCGTAATGTATCAGACCCATATTATTCTCTCTACACCCAATGACATAAATATCAGCTGAATATTAGCAGAAATTTAATCTCAATCTAATATTCTTTATTCTCACATTGTGCGTGTGTATTCCAATTTGAAATTGGTTTCATTTTGAAGTTTAAAAGGTATAGTTTGGTTGTTTTTTTGACTATCTGTTCACATAGACCCCAACAGTACATTAACAATTTTTTTAAGAAAAAATATAACAAACAAAAAATCGAAGAGGCTGGGTATTAGTAACTCGAGCGGACTTTGAAAGATAATGCTATGTATTTGAGACAGCTTCAGGAGGCGCTGAACTTGATGTTTATGACACATCACTTATGTGTAATAGATTGGTGAACTGGATGAACTGTTGTAGTCATGTACAACTGTTGTATTGTACTAATTCATTAAATTATACACTACGCTTGAAAAGTAAATATAAACGTCGTGAAGCCGAAGATCGATTACAAAAAAAAACAATTTATGTTTAATTTTTGTAAACAAAGTTTTATCAAAATGTCGCGTAAGTGATGTGATTTAGTGCAGTATGCTCTACTGGGACAAGTAGTTTAAAAAATTTGATCCACTTTTGAGAAAATGTGGTTACTTTTTTAAATTCTATTTTACTTTTACGGTGAAATTATCAAAATTTTCCAAAAATGTATTTGTTTAATTAAATAGCAATGTTTTTGAGAATAAACGTCATTCATAAAAAGAAAATAATGTCCAAAATAAAATTAAACATTGGCAATTTTCGAAAAGATAGAGTTTTTTTTTAAACCGGACATGAACGATTTTCAAGTGTAGTATATTTTAGCAATATTTTTAGACATATTGGATGTCCCAAAATCTTCATGTAAAGTATCCTACAAAATTAAAATATCCGTTTCTAAGTTGCAAGGTCATGAGTTGGTACAGATTTAAGGAAAAATATCAATTTGAGGAAAATCCGACGTGTGATTTTCCCACTATTGTTGTTTGCATCCGGACGTGCAGAGGCCAGAAGAACTGACGAATACAAAGACATATTTTGAAAAAGCCGTTTTTCGGTATCATGGAATCCTAACTTATATTTACGTTAAAATTTAGACACCGATTTCCTACAGTATTTCATAACTTTCCCCGTATACGAGAAAGTAATAACACACGGTTTCAGAGATCCCCAATACATGTACTTGGCGTAATGAGTCATATTAATTCACTCGCATGCAACATCGCAAACGACCTTTCGCAGAGTAGTTTTTTGCTTATTATAACTATCTTTTTAGAACTGAATACATTGATTTATAAATATATATTTCCGCATCAAGTTTCGCTTTCGAATAATGCGTAATACATGCCCTCGTTATACATGGAACTTATAATAATTTTAATTGAATAGTTTTATTTAGATCAACTCCATTATTGCGTAAGATAAGTGATCAGTCGTTAAGGAAGATAAAATAAACTTTACCATCCTCCAAGCTTATCATATTTGTTGTTGTTTTGCATTTGTATTTAACCATTATAGTATGTCCCATACAGGACAATTGGCCTCGACGCCGTTTGATCCCGGAGTTCCCAGCCGGTCACCCAACCAGGAACTCGCGATTTCTCAATTTTGCTTGACCTTCGTGACTTCACGTAGTTAAGAAATTCAGCGAGCGTCGCCGGTTTCGCGACGGTGGGGTTTCAATAGAACCATCGCAGCATTCGCCTGTCTGACCGAGGGAAACCACGAATACACACTGTAAGAATGGTCGGCACGGGGATTGAACCCGGGCCTCCCGAGTGCGAAGTCAGCGCACCACGTCCTGACCAAGACCGCTCGGTATAGCATAATGAGTACAGTACGTTCAATACTCTTAATGTGTACAGTACGTACAATAAACGTTTCCCCGACTGTACAAACCAATTCAAACTGAATAGATTTTAAAATTATGAAGGTGCCACTTTGTCGGCAATTACATTATTTAATGCAGATTGATTACTGATGTTATGATGCTGTTAACAATATGTTTATTGACGTTAATTATTAGCACTATGTTAACACACGTATTCATAACGCAATTTCTCTCTGACAAACAAGACTCCGATTCTCATGTAGGTTTTTAAATGTCTTTCACAAAATTTAAATGACTTCATGCTTTCATTTTTAAGACCAAGAGCGCAGTAGAAACTTTTTGTACAGATAAATATAGGTCTCGTCTGCTAATAAAAAACGACTGGACGACATATAGTTTTCTTGTGAGACAGGCTGTAGGATAAGGGAGGTAAAAGTGCCCACAAGCTTCATTCAGTTTTGAACAGAGGGCATGTTTAGTGCTATTTTAAAAGTCATTTTTCCAAAAATCTCAGGACAGCCTGATTATTTTGCAAGATATCAGAAAAAATATGATTTTTCTGTTTTTAATTTTTTTCATATCATTACTCGGAGATAAAATTCTGAAAAAATCATACTTCACATCTATAAATATCTTGAATTGTTCCCCTCCCCCCAATGGCGGGAAATTCAATTTGTTTAAAATATGAAATTATTATGAGGTATTTTTCTATGTTTTATTTCTGAGGTGAACCCCCCTCCAAAACATTGCTACAAATCTGTATTAAGGTATAGCATAACTACTAACTACTAGCACTACTAATTTTTTCAGATTTTTCTTATTGGTGTGTCATATTGTAAAAAATTAATAACTCTTTGCCTTGTCATTTATGCATACGGTATATAACCCATAACAAGTTAATCACTTTTCTACTCCCCCAAAAAAACCTTTCAGTACAAAAATATATCATTTTATCATACAAAAATATTATGTATAACGTTTGGCGCCAAATTCAAATTTCATTTTTTTTCACATTCAAATTACATTTTGCTCACTCGGTTGAAAATAATACTAAGAAATAATTGATAGATGTCAGCGATTTGGGGTGTCTGAGCTAAGATTATTAACCTATTTTAAGTAATCATTAAAAATGTGAGAACATCTGCACTGTAGCACTACTAGTGTTATGTAGGATTGTACCTTGGGCTATGCTTTGAATAAATAACTATTACACCACCACATTTTGTAATCATAAACAATATTATCAGTATTGCACCTAGAGTTGGAAAGGATGTGTAATACTGAGCTCTTCTGCTTCTCTCCGTGCGAGTGGCAGGTCGTGGAGCGGCCGTGACGACGACAGCGGGGTGCAGGTGGGCATCTACGGGTGGCGCAAGCGCTGCCTCTACCTCCTCATCCTCGGGCTGCTCGTCGTCGTCATCGTCAACTTAGCCCTCACCCTCTGGTTGCTGAGAGTGCTCGACATCTCTATGGTAAGCCAAATGAAATTGTAGCGTCCAGAGAACATCGACCGGTTGAAGAGGCTCAGCGCATCAATCGATGTCTCTGAAGTGCCTATGACCGGGGGGTCCTAGAGTCTCAGTCCCGACAGTGGGGATTTTCGATACCAATCAAATTCAGCTGCATTCTGGAGAAGAATTCTAACAGCGGCCGACTGCTCTGCTGGGTACGTTTCTATGGTTTCTCCGAAAACTCACACCGCGAATTCCGAGGCAGTAGTCAACAAAACGGGCCGCGCGCGATCATTCCTTCCTCTTCCTTGTCCTATCCTTACGATTTACACACACACACACACTTACATTCACTACTACCACACAATACCATTCGGAGGGTAAGTATTTGTCCCGGATGGGGTGGTGCCCCGCTGTTGGGAAATACCTGAATGGGGAAAACCTCGCAAGCTGGTTTACCATATAAAGAGGAAGAATCACCAACCATTTTCCTGCAGTCCCTCTGACCGGGAGGTCCGGGGTTTGAATCCCGACGGTCGAAGAATTTTCGATTCAAGCTTGACAGCTAGGTCGAACTCAGTCGCTGTCTGGAGGACAATTCTAGCGGCCGGCTGCTCTGATCGGTAGTTTTCCGTGGTTTCTGCGATCAAACCAGGCGAATACCGGAGCAGTACCCTAACAAACGAGCCACGAACAGCGCGATCTCACCATCCTCATCCTTGTCCTATCTTCACCCCTTACACACACACACACTTACATTACCATGCACTACACTACCACACATGTCGGGAGACCCGTCACGAGCTAAGAGCTCATCCCGGCTGGGGCGGTTCCCCGCTGGTGGGAGAATCCTAGTTGAGAAAACCCCCGCTAGATGACGGCAGTTTGGTGCCAGATCTTGCCACGCAATCACTACCACCCCTGAGCAAAAATCATGCTTTACACTTACACTAATGACCCTTGTAGTTAACGTGCCCGAAATCACTAAACAATCAATCACCTCTTCCCGTGATAAAATGTACACTACACTTTCGGGAATTGTGGCGAGTCCGGGGAAAATGAAATAATCAATCAAATAGAGAATGTCGGGTATACCACGATTCCATATTCATAAACTTTAATAATGGTGAACACGGACTTTTGATGAAAGCATCTGGCCTGTTAGCAGTGACATCACAGAAAGATTCCTTAGTTGTAAGACTTGGCTACTTCGGGTATGTCGCCTCTGAATTCAGAGATATCACAGCAAGATTTCTAAGTTGCCAGGCCTGGAATTTTGGTATTTTGTCTCTGAATGCAGAGATACGAATTACAGTAATTCACAGTAATTCATCAACATCGTATTACAGTAAGATACCCTAGCAGCTACGCTTGGCAATTTTGATGTTGTATATCAGAACTCAGAGATATCACAGTAACATTCCCTGCGAGGTGGGATTGTTGTTGTTTTTTGTTGTTTTTTTTGGTAGCGTCCTCTACCAATCCAGTGACTCAAAGAGGCGAAAGGTGGGAAGGCGTCGCAGCTCAGGCAGTGGCGAGCTCTGTTGGCAGGAAAGTTTGAGGCAGCTGCGCACCTTAGCGGCTGCGTGCCGTCCATAGGCGAATCTTGTGTAATGCGGGTGTGCAGTATGTGCACAGGACGGCATGGGGCAGCTGCGCAGTGAGCCGTTCATAAGTGTATCGTGAGTGATGTGTATGTGCTGTGTGTGTGCCATATGCGTATCATGTTTGATTTGCCTGTACTGGCTCAGAACGGCATGGGGCAGCTGCACATCATGGCGGACAGCGTGCCGTCCATAGCCGTTTCACGAGTGATGAGGGTGTGCTGTGTGTGCGCAGGATGGCATGGGGCAGCTGCGCAGTGTGCCGTCCATAGACGCATCGTGAGTGATGTGGATGTGCCGTGTATATATGTGCTGTGTATATATGCTGTGTATGTGCCATATGCGTGTCATGTTTGATGTGGCCGTGCGTAGTGAGCTCAGAACGGCATGTGGCAGCTGCGCATCGTGGCGGACAGCGTGCCGTCCATAGCCGTATCACGAGTGATGAGGGTGTGCTGTGCGTGCGCAGGACGGCATGGGGCAGCTGCGCATCGTGGCGGGCGGCGTGCAGCTGCGCGGGCAGGCGCTGGTGCTGGACGCGCTGTTGGCCTCCAGCATCCGCTCGCGCCGCGGGCAGCCCATCTCGGTGGAGTCGGCGAGGAACTTCACGGCGACGGCGCGCGACGCCCGCGGCCGCGTCGCCTCGCGCCTCGTGCTCGGTGAGTCGGCGCGAGCGCCCCCCCCCCAACAACGGGCTTTCCGCCGAGCGTGGCTGAGATAAAACGACTTTAGTCACTTTTCCAAGAGCTTTTGCACAACTTCTAGGTCGAAACGAAGAAGTTCCGAACTTAAGCTACAGAGATACTAAATATCCATAATGCCACACCCTCTTTAATTAATTGTTTCGACTAGTGCTGCCCACCAACCACTGAACTCTATTTTTAAGTATGTTATATAATTATAATATAAACATAAAGGGGGATTCCGTCCTCGTTGCTCATACAGGAAACTGTGATACAGTACATTAAGTTATTCATATGTGTGAAATAAAATGGGGGAACCCTATTCAATTGTTTTAAAAAATAGGTTTTTTGGCATGGGTCATTTTTTTGCATAAAAGTTGCTCAAACAATATTCAGCTTATTTAATATTGTTCCCTGATGCTATTTTTACGTACTTATCTGAAGAAGAGAGAAAAACTATTATTTAAGTGTTATTTCGGTTAATTTATTATTTGTGAATAAATCCACAATTTTGCAATTTCACCTCGTGTAACAAGGTAACTCTATAATGGTTGAAAATGACATTTTGCGTGAACGTAAGATCGAAATGTGACAACACGGTGTCCATGACTCACACAACTCTACCGGGTCGTCCCTTTATTGCTGCACACTTTTAATGCGCGGAATAAAGCCATCACGATCCCCATCAGTAGCATAAACGCGATCTTTCACTAACACAGAGAACAAAATGGTCCAGCGGATTCGAATGCGAAGACCGCGGCGGCCGTGCTATGGGGCCTCCTCGTCCGATTCACTTATCTGTAATTTGCATATCTAGGCATTCCCTAACTCCGTGAAAGTCAGAGGAAAATGTTTTTCTCCAAATATTTCAAACACATTCAATAATTATGTTTACATTAATTGCAAACAGAGTTGAATTCAAAGAGTTGAACTAAAATCGGATCTGTGCATTATTATAAGCTCTATCTGAAGAAATTAAAGAAAAGGTTTGGAACAGTGTTTAAGAAAATTTTGAATATTACCTTGTGGCTTTGCGTAAAGTACTCATAAAATTAAAATATCAGTTACAAATAGCGTAAATTAAGCGGATCAATGAGATTGATCGGATAATATCAATTTTGGTGAAAATCCTGGTTGTATGTAGTTTACTGCGGTTTTTTTTAACAATACAATATTCTATACTTTGAGAACATAACATATGGAAAAGAGTTCTACAACACTATTTACTACGTTGTCCGGGAGACGTCGCGTCCTAGGTATTACACGCGCAAGTTTTCTTGACACACGAGCTCCCTAGTCCTCCCCAGCGCTGAATAGCACGGCCCGTTGAAATAATCAGGTTCAATTCGGAACGGCACGTACCAATTTGCCAACAACCACATCGTACCTTCAAAACAATCATTGTATCAAACGTGGCACGCTTTGGGGCATTATGTTCATGCTCACAGTTGGTACGCCCTTTTTAAGCCGTGACGTAAATAGAACCCTCCCTCCCCCCCTCCTACGGAATATCAAGAAAACTTGCGCGTGTTGTACAGATATCAACGTTTCGGCCGCCATGCTGCGACCTTCCTCAAAGAGAAATGCAAAAGCTAACGCTTTCAAGAACTACTCGCACATAGGCTCAGTGCAATTGTGGTCTAAGCCATATTTTCAAGAAAAGGAGAAATATCGAGTTAAAGTTTCGTAGTTCGGTAAGAAAGAGTTGTGAAGGGAAAGAATAGGTAAATAACTTAACAGAGGAAAAATAGTCAAACCACAATGTAATTAGATAGTTTACCTTCTTAGATAAAAAATGGTGTCAAAAACCCTTTTTTTATTTTTACTTTCTCGCTACCGCTTATGCAGTAGAGAGAAAGTTATGTAATGCTTAAGGGAAAAGCGACGAATTTTCGACAGGAAAACTTATTGCCGAACCCTGGTAATGAAAAAGTTGATAAACCCATTTGCTAAATTTAGAAAACAAATCCTCTAATACGAGGTGCAACCAGAATCCATGTTTTGTAGATCCTTGATACCTAAAAATCGATTGATGGTAAAATGTCTGTCAATCCGTCCGTCCGTCTCAGTGGACAATGCTGCGGTTAAACCGTGCAGACAATTTTCTTCAAAATTGATATTCCTCACTCAATCCGGTTGATGTCGCGGCCCCTGGAATTTAAAACCAATATTCTAATTTTGGGATCTCAATTTCTGTAAATTACGTCTCATTGTTGGGTAGCTCTATGCAAAGCAGTAGTAACTGTCAAATTTTGGTATTTGCTTGAAAATATTTAGTTTTCGCACCACATCTTCTACGATTTGTAACGAGTTTTACGTAAAATAATGACAGATGTGTGTTGATTCGGGGAGAATTTGTGGAGTACATAGTACTCCATAACCATTACTAACAGCGAGAAAGTATGTGCTGTTTGATTACCACGAGTCTGTGGGTTAGCTGCCTATTGCGGTCGGTCCTTCATTTACGACAAGATTTCGCGAGAGGTCGCCGGCGGCCGCTTTTGCAGAGCGGCGCAGATCCCCAGAGGTGCGTGCGCACGTGTGTGTGTTTGTGTATGTGTGTGTGTGTGTGCGCGCAGGGGAGGCGCGGCTGGCGGTGTCGGCGCCGTCGCTGCGCGTGACGGACGCGCGCGGGGCCACGCTGCTGGCGGCCGACGCGCGTCGCGTGGAGCTGGGCGCGCGCGCGCTGCGCGTGTCGGGCGAGGGCGGCGCCGTCGTGTACGGCGCGCTGCAGACGCCGCTGGTGCGCGCCGACGCCGGCCACGAGCTCAGGTAACCCCTCACCCAAACAGCGCGCCACACACACACGCTCGAATCTTACAGTCGCTTTGAAATGACTCGCTTGGACGATCTGGGCTGTCCGGGAGACGCCGCGTCGAAGGCTGTGTGGCCGACGTTTTGACCATCCTGCCGTGGTCTTCCTCAGGGCTAGTATGCCATACCACTGCCATACCAGCCCTGAGGAAGACCACGGCAGGATGGTCAAAACGTCGGCAACACAGCCTTCGATGCGGCGTCTCCCGGAAAGCCCAGATCACCCACATGACTGGCCGCGGAAGCCTACGACTTCAAATGACTCGCTTGTTGCCTTCTAACATACACGTACACTATGTGATCAAACGTAATCGGACACGTGATTGAACATACCTTACCAGTTCGTGGCGCCCTCCGTCGGTAGTGCTGGAATTCAATAGGGTGTTGGCCCACTCTTATAGACTTCATGAGAGCTTTCACTCTCGCAGGCATACTTTCAACCAGGTGCTGGATTGCCCATTCTTCACGGAGTGGTGCACTGAGGAGAGGTATCGATGTAGGTTGGTGAGGCCTGGCACGAAGTCGTCGTTCCAAAACATCCCAAAGGTGATCGATAGGATTCAAGTCATGACCCTGTGCAGGCCAGTCCATTACAGGGATGTCATTGTCGTGCGACGACTCCACCACAGGCCGTGCAGTAGGAACAGGTGCAACAGTGGGAAGCAAGAAGGTGTTTAAAACATCATCGTAGGCCTGTGCCGTGATTCTGCCTAACAAAACAACAAGGGATGCAAGCCCCCTCCATGAAAAACACGACCACACCATAAATCCATTTTGGACGTGTCCGGATTCTTTTGATCACATAGTGTATAATTCAAGCAACTTCTGGTTCATTGATAATAAACACAACTAAAGTTTGATATTATTATACTGGGTTTATTAGTTCACTCCTACTGATTCCCCTAGGAGATCCCCCCTACTGATATATGTATGAATACTTTGCCGCCGATTAATTTCTTTCCAAGCTGGATGACCGCTATAAGCTTTATACAAAGCGCAGAGCCTTGCTACTGATCGCCTATTTTCGAGTGAATCCCATTTTACCATTTTCTTGTCCCTGAAAGTAAATTTATCTACCCTACGTTGAATTCTTTCCAAATTTTTACACTGCATACTTTTGTGCGTATCCCAACAAATTGTTCCATATTCCATTATGGGACGAACAAGCGATAAATAAGCAATTTCCTTCGCGTTTGCCGTACTCTTTTTTAAGGTGCTCATTATAAAGTGAAGAGATCTCCCCACTTTACCTACAACAAAATCTACGTGACATTTCCAGCTTAATTTACTATCCCGTTGAAGTTGTTAACACACCCGGAAACAGCAATCAATCATATTTACATTGAAAGAGAGAAGTGGAAAAGAAAATTGCTCCTTTTCAATTCTTCACGCGTCGAACTGCATCTTAGTGATGCATAAATATAGTACGTCCACTCTTGGGAATGGACATGACATGACTTCCGCATCGTGAGTGCGGAGAGCCGAGCAGGGCCTTATATAGTCTCCCATATAATGTGGCGGAAACCGTTACGGTGGCGCGCCCTGCTGCATCACCACCTTTACAGGAACTAAAACATGAACTGTTGCAAATGATACTTAAAACGTGCGTGGCCGCTGCGTGAGTTCGCAGGTCGTAAGCAGGCCCGTAATGTTACAAAAGATAGCACCGATGTTGGCACTTTCTTCAAGGGATTCCTTATTCGTGAATATATTATTAATAATTGAACATTAAAATACAATTGTCTCTTTTTTTATTTAAGCTCGCATCAACTTCTAGGTGATTAGCGACCACTTTTGTTTGCAACAGTATGGTATGATATAACACGATATGATGACGATAGGGGGTGAAAGGACGAACACAATATAACCATGCCCAAGGTGCAACTCGACCTCGCAATCCTTCGGTCCGAGATCGCTACGGCACTACTGCCTTCGCGATCTCGGCCACCGGATCGGCACACTTCTCTTATTTCTCCCAAATTAGCCAATTTTTATGTGCGGAAGTTGGCGAGCCTATTCCCACGTGCAGCGGGCGTCCGCCGCTGCGGCAAGCGGTGGCGGGCTCTGACTACGCGAAGCGGAGGAGGACGTACGCGCCACCGCTACCAGAATATAACTTTAAATGGTATCCTTCCCACTGCGCCAAGGCCGCAGCGCAGAG